CTTGCCAATGCCATTATTTACTTTCCAAATGAATTAAATCTTTTCAGCAAGCATCAATAGTATACGGACTACATGCTTTACTGAAATAAGAAAAAAAAGAGCCAAAATTAATTAGAGCAACATGATGACAGTGGAAAACTCTCTGGTATGATCTCCTTTACTTCTTTTTAGCAGTTTATGTCCCATTTCTCTAACCTATAAAATTGCAATCTCGAATAGTTTTTGTTAACAGCACATGCAACAAATTCGAGGAGGAGTTCATCAAAGTATCCATCGATGTGCATATCCTCATCAAAACTTGAAACTAAACTTATGAGGACTTTTAGCCATATTTATAAATCATTCTATGACTAATGCTAGTAGAATCATTTGTATCTTCTGGAGCAGTCTGACTTAGACAAAGACATACGGTACATTTTTAATGTATGCGTAAAGTAGTATGAGTGGGGTTTAGAAATTTTGAAATCATCGCTAGAAGCATTGTAAAAGAACGATAAAGATGATTTGGGTTTGAACCTGAGATATACATGTGATAAGATTGTATTTTGTAAAGATGCATTTGAGTTATGCCAAAAACCACCATCTTGGTTGTAGTGGGTCGCATCAGGATTTTATGTCAGGAGGGGCACAAATGCTTACAAATATAATTGAAAAATATTATTTTTAACATGAACTTGATAGTGTGTATCGATTCACACTTTACACTTGGACAAGTGTTACAATATTCACCTTAAACTTTAAAAAATGTTGCAAAATGTACCTATTGATAGATTTTCATGAAAATTTGTTGAAAAAGGCATTCTCATATATCTCAAATGAGTTAGAAAATATATATGAAATAGATAGGATTTAGATGAAAAAGACATTAGAGCTTGTTTTTTAAGCTTAAATTTTTTTATTTTACTACGATTTCGTGTATTAATCAAACTTAATTTGAGAAGCTTGATTGATTAAATTAGTGAGGTTTTCCTGATTTTTTTTAAAAATTAATAGGTGAACTAGCAAAAATATATATTATATATGTGACAAAATTTTGGCAAATACGTAGATGATTTTTGTTTCCAGAAATGCATGGTTGGTAAAGTTTAAAATGTGCTTACAGACAGAAGTTCTCAACTTATTCCAACATATTCAAATAAAAACACCAAACTTCTCATCGATTGTTATGATTGAACTATTCAACTTATTTAAATATTTATTTTCGACCAAAAAATTGTGAATTAGGATCCCATTTGTTTGTATTAAAAAATGTTTGAAAAATGAGGTTGGTCATGTCAGCTAATTAGGGTTTAGTAATAATTCTGATTCCAATTAACCCAAATTCTTCATGTTTCATTCATTATTTTTACCACTTTCATCTTGCTTTTCAATACGTTATAAAATTTTGTTTTATTATTTTCTACAATGATCTTTAATATACTGCAAACCATTGATTATTTTTACATTTTTCATATTCAAAGCAACTGATTCTATGCCTATTTGCTATATTTATATAGAAAATGAAGAGGTTATATCTCGAAACCAATTTGTAAGAAGAAAGTAGCTCAAATATCTCATAAATTTTATGAGGTCTATTGATCGACGTGTGATTCCTAACCGGGTTCGTAAATAAGCCTAATTAGGCTTGGTTAGATCTACACGGCTCTTAAAATGCTCAATATTCCTCCTAAACACTCAATTCCCTTGCTAAGCTTTTATCAATAAGAATGGATTAAGGAATATGCCAACTGCCCTAATTTAATATTTGTACAAGTATACCAATTAGGGTTTGTGAAAACTAGTTACCTGTCATTTTCATCCAATTACAACACATCAACTACTATATAAATATATGTATGCAATTCCCTCCATCAAAGTTCTACTAATATATATGGGCACACCACAATTAATATATCTTTATTACTTACAACTTCTTTCATTTTTATGGCCAAAGCGAGCATATAACAGTAATTAGCATATATCTCGACCCAAGAGGTTGTGAGTTCGATTCCCATCCCAACAGTAATGACAAATAGATTGGAAAATTACAAGGTTTAAAAACCAAATAAAAATACCTTTAAGTTTAATCATATTTTTAATTTTGTACCTGCATCATTAATTTGTATCGGTGGTGGTGGTTGAAAACACAACAAAATTTGTGGTAAGAATTACTTAAAGTAGCATATCTCTGCTTGTGATGAAGCTGCCAAAGTTGTATTTTTACTTACATTTCTAGTTTTTTGATAGTGATGGCTAACAAGTTTATTTATATTTATGTTTTTTTGCCAAAATATTTAAACTTATGGAGCCTAAACAAAAATGATATTTACTATTTTACTACGATTCATGTATTAATCAAACTTAATTTGAGAAGCTTGATTGATTAAATTAGTGAGGTTTTCCTTGATTTTTTTCAATTAATCAAACTTAATTTGATAAGTTTGATGGATTAAATTAGTGAGATTTTCCTGATTTTTTTCAAATTAATAAGTGAACTCGCAAAAATAAAATATATAGTAAAAATTACTAACACTTATCTAAATTTTGGGTTATGCATCCAAATTTATTAAAAGAAATAGGTGAACACAAAACGTGGAAGTGTGTTCAAGATTTTTGGACTTTTGATTCTTCAAAATTTGGTGGTAAGATTTCATTTTAATTTCTTCTACTTTTCTATCTAACCACTAACCTCTTTCTAATTCTTTTTTTTTTTTGTTCAATTTCTATGCAAATAATTTTTACTATTATTATGTCAATTATCGTTGAGTTATGATCATGTTGGCAAATCCATTCAAATTTGAGCATAAAACAGTTATTATTGCATTAGTATATGACTTGTTATCTTAATTACAAGAGAACCATTCCTTCATTTTACATGAACAAGAATCATTATTATAAAAAAGATCAGTATAATCACCGGTAATTTGCACCTATTCTTTTTTTTTGATGTCGAAGATTCAAATACATATATCCCAATTTATTGTATTAAAAAAATCATTTCGAGAAAAAAGAATCGAAGATCTGACTTCGAGCACAAAAATCACACATATCAATGATCCTTTTAAAAAGAAAAAATATATATTATATCTTACAAAATTTTGGCAAATACGTAGATGATTTTTGTTTCCAAACCCTAACTTTGAATTTCTTAATTTTGTTCACATTAAATTTCTTAATTAATACAAGAGTATTATTTCTTTCTCATTTCAATAGATGTTATAGAAAACCAATGTTTCTTTGCCAGCTTACACAATACCAAATTTATTTAATCTGCAGAAGAGATTACCTAATATCATCAATTTCTGAGATATGACCTTTTTTCTCATTTATTTTGTTTCTAAATAGGGAACTTCTTGAATCAAAATAACTCCTCAATTAATAAACACCTACTTCCATTTTCCCTTAAAGGGCATAAATAGAGTAAATGTGCCTTTTTATATATATATATTGACGCTCTCCAACTTCCTTTTAATTTGTACCAGATAATTTATATATGCTAATAAACTTACAGTGTTTAATAATAATTCAATCTTAATTGATATCTTTTAAAACTAAAAAATCAAAATTGAAGATTCC